TTGCTGCTGCTACGAAGAGAAGCATCCCGCCCTGCAGCTGAGGGACCTCTCTGCCTGCTAGCAGCTCGCTCTCCCCTTCCTGCTGCTGGAAAGGCAGGTAAGGATCAGGTGGACATGGGTGTACATGACATGGGGGTTTACTTCACCCTAAACTGAAGTGCTTCTATTTTAGGGAGAATTAAACCCCCATGTCATGTACAAATGCCCTTAGTCAAATGTTCTATGCTAGGGGGTTACATGAAAATAGGCACACATAATAAAGGAAGCTTTATATACACACACATAAAGGAAGCTTAAAAACCAAAAAGATTATGGCTATGTAATGGTAGGTGTGGAGTCTTGTTGTAGCTGTGATGGTCCAGGAAATACACAAGAAGCAAGGGGTAAGATTGAGATAAGCAATCACTATACTCTATCTAGGTGCTCCTAAGGCTGAGCAGGATTTTGATGCCTCAGTTCACCCTAAACTGTTTTAGGTGCCTAAGTCCTTGGATCTAGGTCCTAAATATGCATGCTTCATCCCCAAGGGATAAACAATTTTAGAATCAATTGCCTGAGGTTCTTGTAACGATAGGTAATCTCTCACTGAAATCAGCTACTCTACCAGAGAATAGAGGATACTCAAATGTTTTAAGGGTAGTAACTGTAATAATAAATATTCAAAACAAATAAACAAAAAAGGTTTAGGAAAGCTATAAACCTTCATGCTTTCTGGGCACAGACAATCTCTTGCTTATGGCGATGAAGGAACTAGAGCCTGAACGCAGGGCATTCCATAATTGCCTTCAATAGAGTTACTTACCCTTTTTTCTGAAGTAGCTGATACTGACTGCTGTAGAAGGCAGGATCATGTATTATTGGTCTGCTGCTCTTAAGATCATTGCTCCCAGGTAGCTCTTGGTCCCTGTATATAAATTTAGAATTAAGCTAAATTGATAAGTGCCAGCTGCAAAATAATGTAAGCGTCCACCCACAAGTTCAACTAAATCTTTTTGAAAGCTATTAGTACATGTGTAAGTTGCATGCATAGATTGGTGGAGGATTCAGTATCTCTTCCTACTCTTGGTTTGGCAGGATGGAGATTAGCAGATTTAGTTACAGGCTTCTCAGATTACTACTCAGGGATTTCCAGTAGAAATAAAAGTGAACAAATTATTTCTAGGTTTTGTAAAAACCAGATAGTTCTTTTAGAGTTAATGTACTGTACATGGACAATAAAGATGTTTTGCAAAGCAAGCTCTTTAACACTGTTTGAGAGAGAACTGGTTATTCTCCTAAGGGACAATGATAATGAACTTTGAAAGCAACAACCGCCAGTGATCCTGCAGGGAATATTATTCAGATGAATTAAATTTGGTATCAAGGAGTCGTTTCTGAATGTTTTACTGATCACTGTTAATTTGAAGACCCACTTCATAATTTGAACTAGACATAGGTTCAGTACTCCAAACAATATTAGGGAAATTATAAAGAGTGATAGGATCCCTCTGTCACTTAAACATTATGTTTAATGCATTGCATTAATTGTGGCATTAAAAAAAAGGGTGTTACATGTGCACCCAATCTAAGGTGACATAAAATGGGAAACAAGCCATAAACATAATTCACTTCTTAAGTAGAACACATTTATGGCACATTTGTATAGGCACTTTGCACTTAACATGTGGCTGATAGTTGACAATCAGCTGTCAGTCAGCCTTCCCCCACTGGGAACTTTAAACCTCATGCGGATCATCTCTGGCATGGCAGCCCAGCACGGGAGCAGACACTTCCTCCCACCAGGGAATTTAAACCCTGTGCTAAACATCTCTGGCCAGCTGGATCAAGGAATCACAGTGGGATACAGAACTTGCTCTGGTGTGGTGCCTGCAGGACTGATGATCAGCTGATTGTTGGGCATCTGGCTTTCACCTTGCTTTTGCGAGAGAGTCCAGGATCCAATAATGTATGGCACTGTTGCTGGTAAGTGTTGTAAGGCTTTGGGGACCTCTTTGTTGGTGCCTTGTCCCCCAGCAACGTCAGGGTGAAACCCTATTCCAGTGCCACCTAGATGGTCTGGGCGCTGTCCCTTTCTCGCCTGCCACATCTTTGATGTTATTGTTGGGGAGGCAGTTCCCTGTCGGGGGCCTGGAGGGGTCTTGACCCAGGGGGTGTCTTCCTGGGGCTCCAAACCTCCCCTCTCCCCGACCCTTACCACATCCTCAGCCTGGGCAGATGCGGCTCCCTGCAGGTCTTCTGCACACTGCCCACCTTGAAAGGGCTGGGTCTTCCTGGCCATTAACCTTCAGGGGTCCACCCCTTGTCTTCAGGCTGGTTTCCCCCCTTCTAAGAAATAAACTTGGCCTGGCTGGGGTCAACTGTAAGTCAACTGCAAATGCCGGCTCCTGCTGGTGGAGCTTCCGAGATTGTCTCCCTCTCTCTCGGGGCCCCTTTTATCCCCTCAGGGAACTTATGGATCCCCTCTCCTCTAGTAGGCATGGGTACTGGGAGTGACCCTGTACCCCGCTCCTACCAGTTCTTCTGGCATCCCCGCCCTGGAGCCTGGCTGAGCTGAGGTCCCATTGTCCTGGTCCTTCTCACCGGTGTCACCTCCCTCCCCCTTCTGGGGGCTCATGTTCCTCCGTGCTCTGCCCCCTCTGGGGCTGTCTGAGGATGGCTGTGGGCTTGAGGGTCCGCCCTCAGCCACATGCCTGGGCTCCTGGTTGAAGCCCTGCCGCTCCCCAGTGGTGTCCCTCCAGGTTGCTGCCCTTCCACGGGGCTCCCTGCCTTCTGTCTCAGCGGTCGGGGTCCCCCAGTGGACGGCTGCCTCCTTCCAGCTCCGGAGCCGGCATCTCCCAGCTGGTGCTCTCCTGCTCTCTCTTCGGCTCACCGCCAGTTGGTTCTCCTGCTGCCTTCTGAGCAGCCTGCGCTGCTCGGGAGCCATGCCCCCAGCCCTCGCCAATACGCAGGCTCAGACAGCTGCGAAACTGCTGAGCCTGCATCTGTGTCTGTGCCTGCTTCTCCTCCCAGCTGCCGCTCATCTCAGCCCCTACAGTAAGTGCCGGGGCACACTGGTCAGGGGTCCAGGCCGTGCTGGGGGGGCTCCTGCCTCCCCTCTCACAGGCACAATTTGGCTCTGACCCCTCATCCCAACAATTATATGTCCATGCTACGCAGGTGTGGCATTGCAGGAGGCATGATTTTTGGCATCAGGAATCAGATCAGATCCAATCATGCCTTTAAATGAACAGCTGGTAGGGGCCATAGTTACAACATTTTCACTAAGAATGCCTGTGGGTAAATTTCATTTTTATAAACCTAATGGCCTATAGCATTCTGTTGGAGGCTTCCAGGGAAGATCAATTACCTAACTTGTATAACTGCAGCCTTCTGAAATGTGCTGTTTATGCAGAGTTCATTTTTGGTGACCTACATTTGGGCAAGATCAGATTATCTGGCCAGCAGTTATACCCTAGATGTCCTTGCACTTCCAGTGCCAGAAGGCATGGTATGTAGAATGGGATCAAAAGTTCTTCAAGTCCTTTTCTAGTACAGAACTACAGAAAAATAGGATGATGTAGATGCAGGGAAGGAGGGTGAATTATAGAATCAATACAGACAATGCATCTTGAAGAACAACAGTTATTGTAAGGTAAGTAACCATTCCTTCTTGTAGTGATTGTCCACATGGATTCTACTCCTGGTGACTTAATACAAAGTTATCTGCTGGCTTTCAGATAATAATAGCAATCCTACTTAAAAAACTAAAGGCAGGACTAGTCTACCAAAGTGGGCATCCATTTGGAGAGATTAAGCTCAGGACTAATGTCCCCATAGCTGCTTACAAGTCTCAGAAACAGGGATATTCGTCAACCTGGAGGCAGTTTCCTTGAACTCTAATACTATGAGTTAATTTGGGCAGCTCATAACTTATATTGTTGGAGACCAGAAATCCAATCCAATGAAAGCAATAGAAAAGAGCATAAAGTATAGTAGCAATATAAAAAAAGTCAGTAATAGTCTGATCCAATGAAGGACTGAGAGACTTAGAAGATTGGTGTTAAAGGTAATATTTAAAGTCCTGATCTTTGGAATCCAGAATTTTGAATTAGGCCCCTAGGTTCCCTATACAGTACATGGGGAGTTATGCACCTCAATGGGAGGCAAAACAAAACAGCACAGTGAGTTGGGAGTAAATAAGAGCTAACCAACAGCAAACACCAAGGACCTGGGTGCAACTGAAATCCTACACTTCCTAGGACTTGCATGCCTCTGTCTGTCTGAGATCCACAGCTAGGAAGAAAACCATTCTTTCAAAGAACAGAATAGAGTTCAATCTTTTCTTTTAAAAAACAGCCAGAGGGGCAGATAGTGCCACCCTTTTACATAATAGCCTAACAGTTGGGGCACTTGCACAAAAAGATGGAATATCAGTTTTAAATTCTCCTCCCCAGCCAGGAAGAGTTCATACCTACAGATCCCACATCCCAGATGAGCATCCTAACCACCAGGCTGTAGGTTATCACTTCATGATTTTATCATTGTGCAACACGCAGTCAGTAGGGTTAGGAGAACATGACTGGAGCCCTGTGGGTAGAACGCTTTCAAGGGAACAAGGAACCCTAGTCTGTGGTTGCTTCCTTAAAGAAGGAATAACACAGGTAAAATTGCCAAGGAGTATGTCTCTCTCTCAAACCAGAAGGACATCTGGGGTTCTCTTAAGTGACATTGTGGCTTCCCATGGGCAAGTTTTGGACCCTGGGGATTTCACTGCTAAATATGACAATTATTTCCATCAAAGAAGCAAAAGACTAACTATAACACGACTACTTCTACCACTATTACAGAACACAGAGCAGCAAACGTAAGGAACTGGAGGATGATTTGACCTGCCTCACCCTGCAGTCTCTAGGAGAAGGAACAGGAAAACATACCAGGGACTCTGGCTCAGTAGATGTTGCTAATCTAAATACCTGATCTCATCTGCATGGAATGTGGACAGGGCTCAAGCTGAATTGTGAATGTGTAATCTTGTGAAAAAGCATAATTTCCAAAAGCTAAGATAAATGTAATTAGAGTACATGCTTCAAAGTATAAAATGTTTAGTAAACTATTTTTTAGCTGATTTGTCCCAAGAACAAACCCAAACCCTCCCTAAACAAAGACACGTAAGAACTCACAATTAAGCCTGATATACCAGTTTAAAATGGTAAACATATCAATCCAATAGTGATATACTTCCTAGCAATTACAATGCACACTATTTTAAAACACGAGTTAAACTAATACAAAGTTCTAGGATGCAATTAGTGTTTGTCATGCCTCTTTAGTACGACAACTTGGCCTGTTGGTTAATCTACTTCTACCTGAGGTAATCTTACCAGAGCTGTGCATTGTTTTCTTGCTACTTAACAAATCTGGCATAAATCATCCAATCATAGCAGTTCCCTTCTGGTATGCCCATTACAGGTCTATGATTATCTCCAAATATTCTCCTTCTACTTTGTCTCCTTTTCTTCCCAAATACAGAATAACCAGTTTGGCCAGCTCTGGAAAATGTTAATCATACATGCAACATATGACTAACCCAGGCTTCACAACCCTAAGGTTTTGTGTTTTTTGGCATTTGAAATAACCGCTACTCAACTAGCAAAAGCTGATTCTATTAGCACAGGGATATGATCATAACCACTGGTATATGGGATTAGTTCTGGTACTTCTAAAAAATTGTTCTTTCCTAGTTAGAAAGCTGCTTCAGTGCTCTCAGGGCCCTGGCATTGCTGCAACCTGCCTCCCATTCTTCCATACAAACTCTCACAATTGTTTCTTTCCACATTTGCAAACCATTGATGATCCATGCTGCTACACAGGGTCTGACTCATGAAAGTTTGT